ATTTTATTCCGCATGTCCTTTTCTACCTTCATTTATTGCGCTCCAAAGCGCATTTATCTCACATCTTCCAAAATGAATCATTTAAATGCGATCGTGTGGAGTCTGTTAAGATGTACTGAAATTACGCTAACGTAATATATAAATATGTAACTGTAAAGACTGGCTCTTTGTTTTTGAGAGGATATGAGTTTGAATTCAAATTGAATTTACAATTTGCCGTGTCTATTTTCGATCTCATCTCTTTATTTAAAACCAATAAAATTTAAAGATGAGAAAGTGGATTGGGACTTAAAGATTGAGACAAAAAGAAAAATAGGCACTGTGTGGAGTAAATTATAAGTTCCTCTGCAGTTATATCATTCGCAGTTCATCTCTTAAAAATTCATTTCAAATGATTAAGTCATGAAACAATTCCAGCGATTAGACGCTGCAAAATTTTATTCTGAGATTGCTTGTATTTTTAAGCACCAAAGGTTATCTCCGATAGGTTGTTTTCAGATATGTGTTATCATCTGGTAAACTACCTGTATAAAGCATCATTAAAATTTCATTAAATGGCTTACTTTAAGCATCATTAAATGGCTAACTATAACAATCGACCACTGCGCTAGGAGGGATAATAGCCTTCAGCATTTTTTACAGGTGAATATTATTTTTGGTCCGAATTATTTAAATTAAAATGGATGAGAGGAATAAGTTACATCATCTTTACTAATATATAAGTAATCATATATGATTTTGTATTATAGTCTCTCTTGAACTTCCAGTCTCTCTTTAATCATAACAGTCACTTTAATCATTTCTTTTTTTTCGGTGTTTTATTCTATTTTATGCATACTTTTCATGTGAGGTCAGTGCCTTATCATCCATTATTGTTCCTCCTTTTTTCCAAAGTTTAAGTAAACTTTGTATGTTTTCATTCCTACAACTTATTTTCGTTTGGATCACAAGCATTTCATATTTTGAACTTTTTTTTTGGTGCTCGCCTATAATCATTGCAATGGCTTTTCGAATGTAAAAATAAAGGTCAAAGAGTTAGTGTTCAGTTTGTAGGAGGAACAAAGTGAAAATCAATAACTTTAATTTCTTATTTTAAGGAATATAATATAAAACTGCTCAAAACATATTTGGACTATTAGATTAGTGCATGCTACTAAAAAGCCATCATCGACTGGATTACATTCCGAAAACTGACACTGTATTTTAATAAGGAATTTAAATTAAAGCTGATTTGCCTCGAAAATAATGATGACACACAGTTACTTAGGATTTTATTAGCCTGATATGAACAATAGAGATGCGAAACATCATTCAGTCCTCAAAGATGGCCTATCGACAAATTTTGTATCCCAGAGATCTTTGTTTGTGTATTTTGTGCAGTAGCCCTCCCTTCCCCTTCTTTTTCTTTCTCGCTCCATTCCTTTTCATTAAGTGCTCACTCAACATTTACTTTGGGAAATGATGCCTCTGACCCAACTATCTACCCTATTTCGTAATTCTCTTCCCAAGAAACTTTCGATTTTAGTTTCTTTTAGCACCGGAAGTCCCAGAAAAAATAGGAATTTACTGACTTCGCTAATATTTTAAAACCTAAACCAAGTTAAGAATTAAAACTGCATTTAAATGATCCTCCTTCCCAGAAAGTAGCCAAATGGCTTCCTATAAGGATGGGATTCTGCACTCCCACTCATTTACATATCCGAATATTTTCCCATACGTATCTGCTTCAAATGTTTCTATTTAAAATTTCATGCTTTCTACGTTTCCCAAATCTTGGCATCAAAATTAAACGATTTTTTTTTGGAGCAGTTATTGGTATTGTGTGTAATAAAAACAGCAATAAATGTGACCAATTTATCTGTTTCTACCTAACTTTGATGATACAACACAAGAGATACAACAGATACCAATGTATGTTCACTTAAATATGCCCGCTACCACATAAATACTCGATTTGATTCGCTGAAAAAAATAATTTTCCATCGAATGGAGTTTGGCAGCTTTCAACTTAAAATTTAAACTTTTTTTCGTTCGTCATTATTTACTCAGACCTTAAAATTCGTTTATGTATATTTCTATAATTGAAGGTCTCATGTCTCGTATAAATTCTAATTGTCGCACATTAATGATTAACCAAAATATCAGGAGAATTTGGATATTTATGCATATGCTGTTGAAATCTGCAAAAAAATGACACTTTAAAATGAAATTAATCATCAGTGTGTAGGACATTATCGCATCAGAATATAATTTTAAGCGGAAGTCACGAACATCATCCACTTGTTCACTACTAAATCACGAACTTTTGCCGACTATGAATATCCAGAATAAAACGGAGGAACATTTTTCATAATCAGATATAATATCAGTACAAAAAGTTCTTATAAAAAACCAATTTTGCGATATAGTCGACCTGGAAATCTGGCTGACATGATCCGCATATATGAAGGATAGAATTGAAGTTTCTAAGTATTGGACGCTTAAAATTCTGTATGGAGCTATTCATAAAAACAAAAAAAAATTGAAAAAATTTCAAATCGCACCAAAACTAAAGGATGAAGAAACATCGGATAGAAGAGGCACAATGCTCTAGAACGTCCATTACTGCTAACCACTGTCCCTAAAAGTATGAAAGTACTGCACAAATTCTGAGATATTTTAAATTATGCCTCGATAATTTTTGAAATATCATAAAATTCAAAGTTTGAAATCTAAAAAAGCAAACCAGTCCAAGCACAACTGTCCATATTTACATTGTTTTTCTTGAAGGATGAACTTCCAGAATGGATCAAAATGTTTTTCATATTCATCATAACGCACTTTTGCCTCATCCTCTATTTTTACCGAAGTTTTGAAAAAAAAAATAGTTTCCACTGGAAAACAGAATTTCTAGCAAGAGTGATGGAGAGAGATATCCAGACAGTATGTGGCAGAGAAACTAGAGATAGTGCATACTGATTGCCAATTTAGTATAATGAAGTCCCCACTAAAACCAAAATCTCGAACAAAATAAAACATTAAAGGTGCTTACCTGATTTAACTTTACTTTGACAACTTCGCAGAAATTTGATTTTTTCGTACGTATTTCGTGTACTAATGTTCGCGTATTTCATCGCGCTTATTTTCCAGATATTTCTTGTTTGCTTCTGAATGATAAAATCCTGTTCCAGTCTTTCGGCCTAACGATAAAGTCGATCACGTTGAGCCAATATTATTGATAACATGTTTTTGCTCGTATTATTGGTAACATGTTTTTGCTCGTCTTTTCTCATTTATTTCTTGTTTTACTGGCACTTCTAATTCTTTGATCAACATTTTCACAGTTGAAAATTCACTGTTATTAAAGTCTGTTTCGTCGACACTCATTTCCTTAAATGTTCATTTCATACACAACTGCCTGTCAAAATCAACGTCTGGAAGACAATGCAAACGAAATTTTTGAAAGAGAGAAATTTTCTAATGAATATAATGGTATGAAATGGTATGAAAAATTCCATTGTAGGAGTGCTGGAAACATTACATCTACTATGAAACAGTAAAATCGGCCTTCAAACGTGCAAACAACTGATGCTGTCGAACCACTGCCATTTCAAACTCATAATGAGTATTTTCCAACGCTGTCAGCCGCTCTGCAAAATAGCATACAGCATTAATAATATAGTGGTGACCCAAGTTATAAAAACTCGAGAAACCAAGTTTTAAGGAAACTCGACACTTGACATAATTTGTACAATGAAAATTTTCAAAAGGAAAAAAAAGAAGCTAAGCGAAAGCAGTGCTAGGATAACATGACCATACAGAAAAAGACAAAAAACACAAATTTTCATCATATCAAAATTTGCTTTTAATCGAACTTTACCATAGTTCTATATGAATTTGACACAGTTGCAATACATGTCATTGTTATTCCCAGGAACATCAAACTGCAAGTTCTGATACCGTTTCTGGATTAAAAAACAAAAACAAAAACTTTGGAACAAAAGATAACAACTGAAGTAACAAAACTTGCAGAGCCTGAAGAAAGGATATTGAAAAAGTTATGAAAATTGGAAGAAGTTAAACCATCAGTCATAAACGTTGATTACAGATAAAAAGGCAAAGGATAATTTCTTCATTAAACACGTAACAGTGAATGACATTTAAATTGCAAGTGAGATGGGGTAAAGTATCGCAACTACAACAAATTTTGAACCACATAACTTAAACTATCTAAAAATTATTCCAGAAAACTTTAGTCCTCTAGAAAATCAAAAACTTGAGAATTGGTGATTATTCAGACGATTATTCACAAACAAAAATAAACTTCAAGAGTATGTCGTACGAATAAGTGTGAAAGATGGTGAGATCAAATTTTCGAAACAAAAACAAAAAAGTAGAGATTCCAGGTAAAACAACCAAACACATTAAGGAGGCTCATAAATATATGGACGAAAAACAAAGTACAAGTAATGAAGTAGAGATCACCTTCAACTAAAACTCCTGAAATAAAATTAAAAGAGAAAAATACACAATAACAAAATAATTACTGATAGCTATAATTAACCAGTTGACAAATACAGCGACAAGAAAAGTCGATTCTTAAAAACATAAACTGATGGCGATTTGAAAAGAATTCCATTTGCTAGTTCAAATCTAGATATCGCTAGATAACATAACGCTAAAGTCAGTTGGACAAATTTCCAATTTTTTTTTTTCAATTTTAAGCCGAATGAATTCGACGACGTGAAATAAACATCGTACTGTCATCAATTATTTTATGAAAGAATTAAGAGAGTAGGTAAGAAGAAGATATCTATGATCCAAAAATCTTTTCCCTGCAATCTATTTGGCAGTAGTAAAAGGTTGTGTACACTAAGAAAGAAATTTTTCGACAACTGCAAAAATTTAAATTAAAAAATTGGATATCAAAAAAAAATAGTTTCTGATAAATTCTGAAAAAAATTCTTTCCAGCCCGTTGATAATATTTGAAACGAAAGTTCTACACTCGAAACCAAATAAATTACAACTGCTTGGCAGCATTGAGTTTTTGAATCCGTTCAATTGCTTTATCAAGAGAACTATTTTTGGTAACTGTGCTTCTAGTCAAATTGCTGTTGCTGCTCGGTGATACCATTGTTGGCGACCAGTGATACGGTTTCGATTCCAATTTCATTAATTCCGCAAGATCCTAAAAAGATGTTCGCAAACAAAGTCCGCATGGTGATCAAACCGCCACGTGAAAAGTTTCACTCTTTTCCCAACATGTGTAGGAATTTCTCATCTTTTAAAACAAATGCATAGTATTTGTATCCAAAGAATTGATGGCATAATTTACAAATCGAGGTAACATTAATTCCTACAACGTTTTCGGCGGTTTAAAAAAAAGTTTTATTCCAGATTTACATACTACCTTATCTTATAAACTTTCACGGTTATGAAGTTCTCACATTGGTAGAAAGAAATATGATTACAGTGGCAGCTCATAAAAAATGATATACGAAATAAGTTATATTTCAAGCTAAAATAATGTGATAGGAATTATATCTGCAAATTACTTATCACGAATCTCTTAAATAATAGCAGCTAAATATTTGAAAAACTTATCAATAAATATCATCTGAAATAGATTAACCTGCTTCCACCGATCATTATTATTTTTTGCATTTGCTGAATTTTTCTTCTGGCCGTTGTCATTATTTGGAAGAATTTCAGCTCTCAAGCTCGCCTGTAATTTAGATCTTGAAAGAAGTTTAAAATAGAAGAAAATAAAGCCACAGATTTATAACCTTCAAGTGATTTTAAAAAATCCCATATAGACCTTTTGTCGAGTTCGATAATTATGGAACCAATTGCTCACAGTCCTAGTACTCAAAGAAAGAGTCTGAGAGAGTTGCTCAATTGTTCGTTGGTTCGGGTGCTGGTCACGTTCAAAAACATGCTTCAGTGCTTCTTTTTGCTGATCCGTAATAACTGTCCTCTATAGCAGAAAAAATGAATTACATTTCAAATTTAGTGATGAATAACGTTCTAAAAATTTAAAAACTAACAACATTTTTGAATATAAGTTGAAATGTTAGTGGAGCTTCATCGACCAATCCTCTAACTTTTTAACAGAAAATTCAAAAAATCAAAAATGAAGATAAAAACCTGCGCTTTCTTCGGTAACTCGCCAGCAGCAGTTGTGTTTAGAGTTGCTTTTCTCTTCTGCGGTGACAGAGTTTTTGTTAAAGCACCTGTAGAAGTCAACGTATCTACCATACTTGAAAGAGATGGTGTGAGGGATGACGATAGCAGCGCAGTGGAAGCAGATGTCTCCTGTATTTTTCTATTCCCATCCAATTCACTGAGCCATTCACTCATCTTGAGATACAAATCACGAGCACGTGGAGACAACTGTTCCCAAGTTTTTGGTTTGGCCAGAAGTTCTGATACACCACCTGGACTTACTCCCAGTACCACGTCACCAAATGTCTATAAAGAAAGGTAAGTTAAAGAATACTGAAAACAAAATCAGGGACACATTCAATCCAAAAATTGATATGAGTGGGACAAAAGATATTTTTGAAAGATATGAAGAAATAAGACAAAATAAATGAAACGATAACATGACTTCTACAGTGTTATATCTCCTTCTGACATCTTTTGATTCTGATAAGCTTCAATTGCGGAATGGCAAAACAACTTTCACTAAATTAACAAATTGAAAAGTAGAGGAAAATAATAAGGAATCTACGAAATAAAAGAAGCGCTGACTGAATTAATGCATTATTTTGATAGCAAATTGAAATCAGTAGATAATCTTATAATACGCAAATAAAAACAAACTTTCTGAGAAATTCCACTGCTGTGCAAACGATCCTTGACTTGCCGTGCAATCTCACTTGTATCAGCCATTAACAGCTCTTTTTTCAGATTCCGCATTACTTTTTTCTCACCATCATCCAGTTTCTTAATTTCGCGCGCTTTTTCAGTACGATACTTTATAGTCTACAATGAAATAAATGTCAGTAAAGATAAAAATTTCTAGGCATTTCAAGTTTCAATTCACAATTTGTTCATTATTAAAATAAATCAACATTCTTGTAATTACCTGCTTTTTTAGCGTAAGTGGTTAACAAACTTTTTATCATAAATGATTTATCGAAGTCCGCTTTTCTTACGCAAATTTAGATTCATATTATAAATTCTATCCATTTTATTATAAAATAGCATTTGCTGTCCCTTCTCCTTTACCCATACCTGTACTTTACAACACGTTCGTTAGAGGAAAAAAGAAAAATCTTTGAATCAGCAAGCAAAAAATCTAAAGAAGCTTTTTCCGAAAGTGACAATATAAAAGCAAAAATAGAACCAAAAATAGAACCTACGATAATCCTTTCCTGATGCAACAAGAAGTAGATCAGATCTAATGTATGTAGTCGGTGATAAAGATCGTGGAAGGTCAGCACAGCATCAGAAAAATTTTTTTACCCCAAAGCTGGGAATTGGGCATTGTGAAAATCTACCACCAATAATGAGGTGATATTAGGCAAGGTAATTTGTTTTAATACACACTTGTTTGGACTCAGAGGAAAACTGCGCTGTCACTCTAAAAATACACTTTAAAGTATTTATGTAAGCTTTAAAATATGCGATTTTATGTATCAGCCCCAATTATTTATTTATATGCAGTAAAGGTTAACCTCGTGATCAATTTCATCAGTTAAAGGAAAGTTCCGCATGTTCAGCAAACCACTAATCAAATTTTGTTTCGCACCATTGTTTGTTTCATTCCTGGGCACAACTTCTGAAGATTGAACTGCAGCGAATTTTCCATTCATCTCTGCATAAAAAAATATTCCTATATTTCGAGGACTTCTCCAGAGTTACTGACGAATGTTAAAATAATTTTTTTTTTTTTGTTTTTGCAAATCTATACACCGATTTTGGTCTCTTAAGAAGAAAACGGTGAAAAAACAGCAGTACCTGCTTCAGGCTTACAAACCAAAGACTGGGCTTCATTTAAGAAAAGCTGCATGCGCACAAATGGTTCTCGTCCTTTTTGCGTCAGCATAGCCCATGGTTTAGGTCTTGCTAAAAGATCCGAAACAGATCCTTGCGAAAGACCAAGCACATGTTCACCGAACTGACGCTGAGATATCGAATTTAAGCAAAGGAAATCTTTGATCTGTAAATAAAAATATCCAGTTAATACTTTAGAAAAATGAATTTCGAGAAAAAGTGTTTCAGACTACGCGTGGATATTAAAACAACCAAGTAATGCTGGAAAGTTACTTGTCTCACGATATCTTCAGTATCCAATACTGGATAACGTTCAAGCTCCTCTTGCGTTATGGACGCCATTCCACTACGACATTTCAAAGCAAACAAAGCCTGAGCAGAATTTACAGGAAAATTTGATTGTGGCGGTGAGCTGGCATCTCTTGTTCCGCAGCGCGAAGACGATGATGATAACGAAGACGATTTATTCGATGTTTCCACTGTTGCAAGCTAAGAAAAAGTATACTGCAGGTATGTTGATTAATTAGGTATATGTAACTTTTTCAATTAAATAGTTAAGCATGATCTTTCAGCATCCGTAACGCTAAAAAGTGATGCTGAACACTAAAAATTCTTTGAAATAAAGAGACCACGACAGTAATACGGTGGACTTTTTCTTTAGTTTTCACTTAGTTTCCTTTCAGTGCACTTTCGTTCTAAATTAGAGTCTTTGATACAACAAAATCCGCTATAATTAAAAAAATTGCTGCGAACATCACAAAAAAAGAACAGAAAATAATACAGTTTACCTTTTCATCCTTACTTCTCACGCTTAAAGGCCGTGAACCAATTGCTTGCTCTAGATGGGACTCCTGAAATCCGGCAATTTCTATTTCCGAAAAAATATATTGAAAATATGAACAGTAATTGCATTCTTCATCACGCTACAGATAATTTGTAAACCTGATTATTGAAATCTTAAACTTCTGTACTAAAATTAAAAGAACCTACTTGCTCCCTTAACAATGCCAATTCACGTTTGTATATCTTCATAATTTTTTCTTTCGGTATGTCATCATGTCGCCAGCGACTTGTACGCTGTACAACTGAGTTAGCACTATTACCACCAGCTGTAGTTGACAACCTGTCACGTTGTTTCAACTGAAAAAATATAAACACTTGGATCATCTCATCTTCAATTGGTTTTGATTGGTCAAAATTTCGTAATTTCAAACTTTCAAATTGACAAAAAAGTTTTTCCATATTGCTAATTAAACTTACATCGCTTGAAGCAACTCTCGAAGACTGCTTTTGCACAAATAAATCTAAAGCATCGTCTGCATTATATCTGGATACAGTAGCTAACGAAACAGCCTGTTGATCCCATAAAATTTCACGCGACGGTACTTCAATTTCGATCAATCCTAATATATGCATAATAAAACACATTCGTTTACTGGAATTTACACTGATGGAGTCAGAAATTTACATTAATGTAAATTTTTTGCATGAGGATATAAACAACAGAAATCTAACCCACTGGCTGAGTTCGACGAGGTGAAATACTACATAATAGTTCAATAGCTTTAGGATCTGAAACCCAGCCATACATACGCCGAAATGCCTCTCGTCCTTTATCGGTGAGTTTGTTCCAGTGCCTTGGTTTTGATAGTAATTCACTGAGTGAGCCTTGTGACTGCAAAAAGATTTATGCTCAGTTATGAGTACAACTATTTATTGCAATTAGTAAAATCTCAATCCAGAAGCAATAAATCTCTAAAAAAATAACGGTTGAATGTCAATTCTATGCAAATCCAGTAATGTGGCAAATACTGTTACTTTCACGTAGCAATATATAAGATTCAATCAGAGATTAATTCACAAAATCGAAATGAAAAATAGAGAATCAAATACCTTGACTACCTGGTTCATAACGTACTTCGCGAATAATCGTTGTCCAATATTGTGGGTGACCATTAAATGTTTGCACTGCTTTGCAATTTCCGTCGTATTCAAAGCCTTTGAACCTAATTCATGGATATTTCTAGTAACAATGTCCTGCAACATTCTCATTAAAAAAAAAAAAAAACAAATATACTCTATTATTAACCAGACATTATTAGTATATAGTAATGTTGGTTCAATTCATCTAATTAATTATATAATTGGAAAAACATTAAATTAATAGCATCTATTTCGTTGCATATGTTTACTGATCAACAGTTGAATATCATAATAATTTGTTCAAATCAGTAGACATTGATTCCGCAAATATAATCCAATATTCGTGTAATGTACCACAACAATTCCAACCCGTTTCAGTTATCAATTAAAATATGTACTGACGAATCGTAACTTCTACTAAGGAAACCAAAAAATGTCGACCAAAGGTGAGGAAAAAAAACCAAACCTGCAGTTCGTTATAAGTCCTGAGCTCAGCAGGTGTCCGAGGTAGTTCGTGTAAACTGGACGTACTCGCTGAATAACAATTTTCTAGTTTCGGTGTATCATTTGATGAACTGGCGGAGCACTAAAACAAATCATTTTAAATGGTTTATAATTACCACCAATGATATAGCTAAGATTAAAAGCCGAGAATTGGTATTTACCATAAACAAATTAAGCAGATTCGTGGCACGGTGTGGATCACTTTCTAAATCTAAGTCACCATTGGTTTCCACTGATTTTTGCCCATTCTGAAAAAATTACCATGCTTTAATGATTGTTTATTATTTTAAATTGACTAGATGAATATGAAGTACTTTATTTCCAGAATATGTAAAGTTGGTGATTACGTATAAATGTATCAGTGGAAATGCCTTATCAACATACAAACCCAAATATGATTGTTATAGAAATTAGTCAAAGCCATACCTTATTCGAAAATAAATCAACGAGTGTACTACTATTGAAGCTGCCATCAACTAAGCCGAAAACATTCGATAAGTCATTCCCATCCATCACTTGTTCCTCTAAAAGCTGTGACTGTTATTCATAAAAGATAAGATGTTTTTCTTGCACTTCATCACTTAAAAAAAAAGAAAAATGCAGTAAAATTTTGGAAAAATTGCATATGGGTTAAAATACCTACAGTATGGTCAAAACATGCCTGTTACCTGTAATTCAATTATTTCTTTCCTCAAAAATTCACATTCGAGAACTATAAATCAATAAGCAAAACCTTCAAATTTTTGATTGCGAATTCGCAACTCCACATTTTCACTCTGCAATTTGCGATTTTTTCCAACAAGCAATTCATCGAGTGCTTTCGAACGACCACCCAATTGCACTTCGGCTGTTGCTGTAGCAGTAACACCGTTGCTCACGAAACCTGTTCCTGTTCCTTCAATAGCTTCTTCTCCAAATTCAATGCTACGTAGAATCCTAAACATAGAAATAATCTAATAAAAATTTAAAATTATTTATTTTTTAAACTTAAATTATTCTAGTAGTTGAAATTTTTTTTCCTAGTACTTCAAAATATGTCTTTTATATACATACTATGTCCATAAGCTATATTCACTGTTCGTTTTTTGAAATGAATTGTTTATCTTTGCTTTCCAGATCTAACTTTTCAAAATAATGCAAACCTCAAATCCTTTTTATCTTCATAATCAGATTGAGCCTCTAATTGGGCTCGTAGTTGCGCTACGATCACTACATGGCGCTCCAATTCTTGGGTTAACTCATCGATACGCTTGTTCGATTCTGTTTTTAAATGAATAAGTTTGGAATTCAATTTCCTGTTTTCTTCTAACAGTTTATGAATCTGCAAAATATTCCTTCAGCAAGATGTCTATAAGAAATTTGAATACTGCGGACATAAATAGAGTATTGAATTTTCAGAGCGGAATAACCTGACTGTCTTTCGAACGAATCAAGAAAGTGTCTCCAAGTACTCCCTCATTTGGACCTGAGGTAGTACGGCTTATACGCTCCAATTCACTTTGCAAACGTTGTACTTTCTTCTCCGCTTCCACCTGAAAAACAAAGAGCTGCTAATTCTTCAAAAAACTCAAAAAGAATTCCATGATTTGCAGAATAAAAAGAAATACTTCCTTTCTAGTTCCATCTAATTTAATAAATGATACAATAATTTCATTCAGCTATTAAAAACGTTATTATATGTGAGCAATATGCAAACTAAAGTATTCATTGTGAATGTTTATGCCCAGATGCTAACAGCTCTCTGTAAGGCGTTTTCGAGATCATTCGTAACAATTTCCAATCTTTCATCATTTACAGCCTCTTTTTTTACCAACTGCAGCTTCGTCTCCTCGAGCATCCGACTTATTTCTTTGTTTTTCATCTGAAATTAATGCCGAATTCCTTTAATATTACAAACTGAGTATTCATATAGATATAACACATTAGCTACTGGAGAAATCGCAAACAATTTTTGCGACCGACATGGATCACTTTTAATGATTATGCAGAATTTTGAAGAGAGGAATTAACATTTATGGAATATGCCGGAAAATATATGGACATTCACAACATTTGACAAAAACATACCGTTAAATCTGCAACAGCATCTGAGAGAGTTTTATTTTCAGCAGTGATCTGCTCCTGCTTTTCAGCAACTTCTTTTTCAAATGTTTCCAATTTGACGCGCAATTCTTTTTCTCTTTCATTTAATGCAGCCTGCAGTAATATACTTTTACATTATATTTCAATTAAACCTTATTTCATAATGGATGAGGAACAGCAGTATCAGTTATCTATTGAATCAAAAGCAGGTAAGTCAGGAGACCACTGGAGCTGGGGATAATTCAGCAATATCAAGAACAGCACATGGAGTGTCAGTGAATCTGAGAAGAGATATGGTCCCTGAACTATCGCCATCTAAATTCAATATTTTCAATCAAACAAACCTGGATATTACTATTTGTTTTAGCTTCCATTTCTTTCATCCGTTCTTTGAGTTGTCGAACAGTTAGATCTGAAAATGAAACTTAATTTTCCAAAAAATAAAGATCACAAAATGTGTCAAATTTCAGCAAAAATATTAAACATCAAGACTGCTTGTATGCACCTTACTGTTGTCAATATTATGAAACGTTAACTTAATTAAGTACAATTCACCTGGAACACTCTCACAACACTTACCTTTTCGAGATTTGCTAAGCAGATTTATGCATCAAATTTTCGTTGAACAAAAGTAAGTTAATTTTTTTTGAATATTTTAAAATATTTGAAAAATGCAGTGAGAATTTAATAAGTACAAACCCTGATTTCGCAAATCACCATATTCTTCTTGCAACTCATTAAGCTGTTTAGTCAAATTCCTAACTTGCTCATCAACAGAATCTAATCGTACCAATTCCCTTACCAATGTGGAAACCTGCTCCAAATATGGAGAAGGATCTGTAAAAAACATAACAGGAACTAAAGTAAGCGGTGCGCATTAAAAAAATCCGCAAAAAATAAATGTTCATCAACTTGATACATCCATAAAAAGTTGGAGCAGAATCAAAAAATGAGACATAAAAGAAAAATAGAGTCAAAGACAGACAAGATGACAAACCACTGGTCTCATGACGACAATTTAGAGTTAATCAATAAGAAACCTTGGATCACAGCTCAAGTAGGGTTGTAGGACGATTGTAAGCAATATAAGTGTGCTGATGAGCAGACAAGCGCAAGCTTACATGTGTCGCAAGAATTCGATTGCCGATACGATGATTGCCGAGGAGAGAACTCCTATCGACTAAGCGCTGCTCACTAACTGACTAGATGACTGGATGCAGAAAATCGAACCCAAAAATAAACGGTTTTCAAGAGTAATGAAAGAATGGAGCGATTGACGGTCGATTCAATATGATGCGAGTGCAATGGACGGAAGCATGGATGGAACGCTTGAAACGCAAATAATCGATGCGATTGCGCGAGCTCCCGCAAAGCTAAGCTAGACAGCCTTGAAAAGCAACTTACTGCTTACTAGAGCAATGATCAACGCTTGAAACTCAGCTCAGCCAAGCCTACCTCTGCCGACTATAAGATGCTAATATATATTGAGGAATAATTCACACGCCTCTCGAATGTTCATTCAATATTGAGCTTTGTCTTGCTTATTCAGATTTGAGATTATCCTAATCACATCTGATAACGAGGTAATCTCGATTCCTTTGCGCGACTAATAAACAAATGAATAAAAAGCTGTGACACAACAAGAGAGGTTTTCCACAGTATTCACGCAATAACTAAACGCTATGCATTTATGATAATATGATGATTAAACTGATGTTCTAAAGATCTTTGCACTGTCGCAGTCACTGATGACCAGCTGAACATTTTTAAAATATTTAGGGTACAAAAGATCGAGTAATACTCTGTTTGGCTGTTCATGATTTGAATCTATTCCAAGAGCAACAAATTACAATATAGATTAGATGAAAAATAAGAAAAAATATAACTAATTTTATTCTATTGATAAAAATTTTTTTTACCGCAAACAGAAGTGAATGCCCGCCAAACAAAGATTAAACCAGCTTCTGCTGCTTTTGCTCTTTCTGTAGCCCGATCATATTCCTTCTGGAACGCTTTAATCAATGGCGAAATAGCTTTGCGTGACTGCTAAGAAAACAAACAATTTCAGGCGTAGAAAAGAACATTTAGAAATACAACCCTACATATTGAATCAAATAATTGACTTCAAAATGTGTCTACTAGTTAGGAATGACTAATTTCTTTACTTTCTATATCCATTTGATTTAGATCTTATATGACATTACGTTAGCATTAACTAATACCAGTGCAATATTTTTCTAATTTTTCAGTATAATATTACGCATTGCTTTCTTTTTTATCGAATTCTCTTTAATACTGCAGTAGTGGCAAGTTTAATTATGTCAGTTGTATACTCCATGTCGTATAGAAACGTGAAGTGTGCATCACTCCTCAAACTATATTAGTGTTAATCGAAAGATGAGTAAAGCTATATCGTGATATCACGAATTCAATACATACAGTATGATTGATGGTAGAAAATTATTAACTGACAAATAAGTAAGCATCAATTTTTAAAAAACGTATTTACGAGCAAGGAAGATGACATCACCCTTTATGCAATACTATTGCTAATAATCCCATCTCAAAAGAAATGCTTTGGATTTGATGCTAATAATTAAGGCAAAACAAAGCTGCATGAGAATTCCATATCACATATAAGAAATTAGTTACTTGCCTTATCAGCACAATCGTAATAATTTTTGCTTTCAGTAATTAACTGTTGGCGAGCTACTCTGCACTGATTTTCTCTCACATCAATTGCTTGTACTTCTTCGTTTAATTTCTTCTGCAAAAGTCGCTAAAAAAAGAAAAAACGTTTATAAAATAAAGAATAAAGATACCCTTATCGATCAACGGTGTTTTTATGAAAAAGTAACGATTGAGAAGATAAAGAAGTACTCTACCGATCGATCAACACTATTCCTGTGAGGTGAGGATTCCAAAATGAATCAGGATCGATCAAAGAAAGAGAAAGAGAAATTAGATACCAAATATAAACATGTTTTATTTTGACTTACTTCGAAAGAGATATGCTACTTTTGATATGCAAAATTACGAAGCTAACTTCATCATTAGATACAGATTTGAAATACCCACCAAAAAATTATATGATCGTAAGTGACAGTATTTTATGAATGCAGTATTTCGACAAATTGAATTCGAAACTTCTACTGACCATTGGACCATCTTTGGTCTGCATACTAATAAATTCAAACTACTTTACAATGATTCAAATTATTTTATGATGAATGAATGGTCCATAACAAAAAGAAGCAACTAAAGTCAGCCAAAACTAGTAAATAATATGTATAATTCATAAAAGAATCAAATTAGTGAACTATTGCAGCCATTTTATAATTCAAAAGGCTAAAAAACGAAGAGGATGAAATGAAGAGATCAGTAAACTGCCAAATAGCAAAATAAGCTAATGGATTGAGTTGAGCTGTGTGCAGCTGAGATGCATTTACTCAGTCAGTTAGTTAACAACCATTTCAGTAAGTATGGTTTTGGAGCCTCATCGAAAATCGATCTGCCAGATGGGCTCTCCTTTCCCGGCAACAACATGATTTGATTCTACGGCAAAATAACATTCCTTTTCATCCACCATTCAGACTTCACATTTCAAACTCCGTGTTGACCACTGACTGAACTGAACCTCTTCGAGCACACACATACAGACAGACAGACAGACAGACACACACACACACACACACATACACATATATATACATATATCCATGGACACACAGATGCACATGTACATCAGTAAACAAATCAATTTACTGATATTGATTTATCTGACACGAACTCAACAATTTACGGCCACTGATAGGTAATACCCCAGAGACTATTTCAATACGGGAACAGCTCATGCTTCTCCAACAATGCATGCATATGCCTTAGATGAAATTTTTTTCCAAACATACATTTTACTGAATAAACAAGAATAGATGAAAATGTGTTAAACAATGCGCTAAATGAACATTAGAATGCATACCACTTGCGGCAAAGGATGAAAAATGCTGAAATATCCCTGTTCCTTGTATGAAATGAATTTTGCATAACAAGCAAACTCAGCTGTTCACAAAATAGGCATTTGCAACTACGCTTTCATAATATGGACTATTTTCCTAAATATTTACAATGAGGAAGAGTTGGTAATCATACAAATTTTTAGAAATGGTTCCTTTTTCCTCTTCTGTTTCATAGGTTATTCAACCGGACATATTTTGCCCGCTGACCTTTCTCTTTTTATGCAATTCCAAATCGGTTAGTCATTATTTCATATTCGATTGCAATTTTTGACCTATGTGTCCTTTCATATCTTTTCGAGTAGGATTTGATAAATGATAAGCATGAATGCAATAGAAATCGAAAATCATGGAAAGATAAATAAGCATATAGTGATGAAGAGCCTTTTCAATAACTCATTCTTATTTGGCTTATCCATTAATACTGAAAGATACATTACAAAGATCAATCAAAAGTGAAAGAATGAAAAGCTGAAACGTTATTTCAACTTGTTCAGCTGCAAAGCCCGCTTAAGCAGCACTGTACCTGCAAGTGTTCGAAATCGATCTGTGACCATCTTCTCGCCACATTTTCCACTTCCTGCACATTTTGTGGATCTATTGCCATACCACCTTCTAAAGAAACAATTAGCTTTACTCCCGTCTGAAACATTGCTTTCTTCGAAAAAAAGAAAAAAACTGACCACAGAAAACGCGAGGAATCGAAGGTGCAATGCTTCTGGAATTGGAGGGAACAGTCGGATTTCTATAATTTTCGCTTTGCTCATATATTGAATATAAATTAAAATATCCTAAAATTCAACAGCAACAGTGAAATACTTAGTAATTTTTAAAGATAGTATATGAGCCTGATAAATTACTGGATTCGATTGAAATGTCAATATATTAGAAGGGTCACTGCATGGAAGGGTCATTCCGTCCGCACAGCCTTACCGCCAAAAGAAGCCACTGCTGTATGCAATTCTCGGGATAACTATATGCAATTTTTGGGATGTATACCAACAGTCCCAATTTATATTGATTATTTAATCAACTGTTTAAGCGGTATGGCTCTCATAAATTAGAACTTAAAGAGACAGTATATTTGGAGTTGATGGCCCACTCAAACCACCGGCAGCAACATCAGCATTTTTATCAGTGATGTAACTTTGGCATCTACACCTAATCTTTATTTGTACAGCGAAATCCAAAATAAATTCTAAAAAACTAGCAGAATTAACCAGTCTAATTAATATTTCAACATTAAAGTAGAAAAATCTGCAACCGCACGCAAAGGTACCAATAACAGGTTGACAGAAACCATTGTGGCTCGGAGATGTGTTAACGATTACTAGCGAAACTGCCTTGATCAACCAATCAATATGTGTGCGGCGATGCTCTGCACAGATCAATCTACTTCACTACTATATGAAATACATTAGATTCACTAAAAAGATGCCTGTCGTGCACCACTGACAGTCTACATTTTAAGAAAGATTTCACAATCAGATTAATATATGATCCAGAAATTACATATAAACATATGTAAAACTACATATATTTTGGATTTAAGAAAATGTTTTCCTTTTGAACAGTTTAAACAGGCAATAAAATATGGCTGGCATAAAATGAGTGCTATCCGCAGATATTTTACGATAACAAGATAACGCATACGATAAGTAGAACTTTAAGTCATATGAAAGAGGTAAGCGACTAGAAATTTATTGGGTAACACTTCCTATACAAAAATCTTAATTTATACAAATGAAAGATAGAGAAACGTAAGTATGATAACTTCATATATCGAAGAAATTGTAGCGCTGTTGTTCATAAGCACGACTATCTTCGCGTAAATGATAATCATCTGGTAATTCTGCCAATATTTTTGCAGCTTCGGTTTTATAGTCTCGGGTGTAATGTACTGAAATATTTTAAAAAAGTGGCAAAAGATTTTCTGGTTCCGTCATGACCATCTTTATATTTCGTTACTAGCAAACTAGTAACAAAATATAAAGATGGTCACGACAGAATCAGAAAATCACTGAATTCTACCCAACAAAAAAATGATGAGTGTACTCTTTGGCTTTGATGGTAAAATAATTTAAATCAATTTAGTCATTGTATTTTTAAAATTACTCTCACTAATCAATTCCATATACCTCCGAAAAAATACCTGCTCTTATAACATATTATATACTAGCTGGAGTATAGAGTTCAGACCACAATTTAGGTCATGCTTCAAAATTTTCTGATTTTAACATAAATACAAACGAGACAAATGAATTAAATAATTATTGCAATTACCATATTTTGGAAAGTGAGCATTATGCACATGTAATTTACTGAAATATCCTATTCTTGGTCGAATAATGTTCAAGTTTTCTTCTACGCAAATATCCAAACGACGCTGTTGCTCTCGACAACTTAATTGCTATTATTATTAACATCATTTTTTTATAATTTAGTTGACGAAAGTGTTTGCAAAAAATTAGAAAATTCTAAAAATAAGTGATACATAACTATTATAACCATGTTTCAAAAAGCTTTTAAATACCAAAAAATTTTATATGTTCATTTTATATACTGAGACAACCAGTCCTAGAAAGTCCTAGAAATTAATGAGAAGGAACAAACGGTGTAATGTAGAGTTTGGCTGTACGATGATCAATGCAATCAGCATAACGATCAACTTTTTCGCTGCAAACCTTTTTCAGTGATTGTAAGAATTTAATGCCACATGCAGTAAGAGCCCGACCTTCTTTTAGAGAAAGACGTGGATCTTCCGTTTCTTGTCGACGCAACATAAAATCCTGCAGATGGATATAGTGACTGTTTTCAAATACAAACAAAAACTAAAGTCAATTCATCTTCCAATTTAAAAAAAAAGCCTCTTTAATGTAATGGAACGGATCTAAATCAATTTAAGTACAACTGACAAAAATTGAAAAAACGAACTTTGATTTCTTTTTCACACGCTTTATGCATGTATGGTATGACTGCTTTAAAATAAGGCGTTGAAAGAGTGATTTCATGAGGTACTGTTAGCTCCTCGTCTGAGGGCATCGGAGTACTTTTGGTTAACATCCCTAAAATGAAATTAATGATATGAAAATTATACAAAAGACATTTATTAAATCTCAGGCAAAAGATTAAGTAAACAAATAAAGTGACTGAAAATGAAAGTGTCGACAGGCAAACAAGTTCAATAATCATTGATATGGATATAATGATAGCGAGGATTCTTTACACACAATTTAATTGTTTTTTTTTTTTTCATTTCTTCTTCCGTTTTACAAACGTATAAAGAAGAAATATGAGTGAATTAAATAAGTCATTTCTTCAATCTTTAAATTACCTTGCCACCAAATACAGATACAAACACAACTCTCCTATCCTTTGCAACAATGTTCCAGTAGATTATTTACCTCAAAACCAACAAGTCCCTGCACATCCTCTGCTTCCACCCCCGCCCACGAACTTACTGTCGAATTCACTGACCGGCAGAACACGCCATTATCCCTATTTCACGCAACGCATGATGAAAACGTTCGTCTCGCTACGGAGCTCACAAGGAAATATGGATGTAGACAGCCACTGAAGAGAAGGTTGGGTCTGTGGGCTGGTTGAACCGGTGTGGGTCCGGAAAACAATGCTCTTTGTTAACTGACAAGCCTAACAGTCCGCATGATTAGCAACTTAAAGGCCGGAATTACGAAGCAGATCATGTGCAGCCCTCTTCTGATCGCGGAACTATATTCAGTGATTACATTGTCTCGATTCTGAAGCATTTTGAAAACAGCAAAACACTCGAAATCTTTTAACACTCAATTTCTATGCAAATTTGGAAAGAGTGTAGCTTAACTCAGTATAAAAGCTATGCGTACTGAAATTAGAAATTGTTTTCTATTGAAGTTGGCTGCAAGGTAGATAGAATGTCTCACACAGGTGTGTGAGTCACAATTGGTTCCCCAAAGAATAACTTTTATTGAAGGTTGGAAATTTATCCTTATTTTGGCTATATCAGTCGAAATGCCTAAAATTCATCTCAAATTCCATGAAACATTTTTTTTAAAATAAACTACAAATTTTGAAGTATTCAAATATTTTTATATTAACTTGAAATTCTTAAATCAAACAAAGTCCTACAAAAATGCTGTTGCAATATCGTAACTGTTACAGATGAAATCATTTCAAATTTCGCAAAGTGCACGGACCACGTCGTCAGCATCATCGCAAGGGCAATCACCGAGCAATAAACCACCGAACAGTGAAGATCGAGCGGTTGGCGGTAGCAATGTAAAGCAAAGACAGCAATCACCTTTCAGTAGATTGTCATCGTCGCCGCAGTTCAAAACAGCCATGGAAAAGTCTGGTCGCGTAGCCAAAGCAATCTCAAACGCAAAACATCCGAAAACGATCGAAAGTATTCAAAAGATCAAGAAATCGACAAGGCCTCTAACGACGTGAGTATTTCTATCTATGAAGTTCCAATTTCGTCCACTGTGGAATTTCTCAGCAATTTATATAAAAATCTCAAAACTGCGACTGAAGCAAATTCCTATGTACTTTATGCCGAAAATAAAAAGCTTCAGTTTGGAAAAAAGACGTGGAGAACGTGTATTTCCACCAAAATCTCAAATTTCGCGAGTACAAAATAATCTTGGATTTCCGTGTGAATTGCCAAATGATCTCATTGAGAATGTTAACATACAATCAAAATTTGATCAGGCAGATAAAAAAGTGAGAAGAATTAAAGCAATTGCAATTCATTCTATCATTTTATGCTCTCGTTTTATTCTTTTTTCTTTAAAAATTCGACAGTCAAATAATGGCTTTATTTTTTTTTAAATTTTAAAACTAATCTCACAAAAATATTAACTTTTTACATCATTCTTTTTAAATAATGATGCAGGTAATCAGTTTTTGAAATATTCTTCGTAGCTGATTGATTTAATCTTTTAGATAGGTGTTACTATAACTAAATCGCTGCTCATTCTTCGAGTGGAGGAATATTCAATATTTTATGGAAAGTTGAAAATATGCGATTTCTTAACACATCTTGAAAATGAACCAATTACCAGTAAAAAAGAATTGTACAATAAATTGAAAATATTACAGGATACTGGTAGAGAGGTGATAAGTGATTTCAAATTTCCCAATCTCAATTTGTTTTCAAAGGATTGAAGCTTGTTTCGAATTTTAGTTTAATTTACGGTTACGGAGGCCATTATGGAATACGCCAGCTACTAGATTACCAAAAGGTTATGATCGCGCACCGGGATATAATTATATCCGCGGTCTCATGATCCTTTATCCGGGCGCTAATCTAGGAATGAATGTCAAAGCATATAACAACAAAGTTTGTTTCTTACTCCATTGATTATCGATTTAAAAATATGTTATCTCAGATTATTTCAAAAATGTATTTTTTCAGATTATTTCGAATTCTCCTGATAAATATTAGAGAAAGTTCAAAACCTGTGAAAAATCTTTAGAAAGATTCCTCTAGAAAAGATTCAACGCTTATAAATTTCATCTAGGCTGTTCTCGAATATCACGCAATCTCGGCAGCATAAAATTTACAGTTAACTTCTCAGAAGTTGAACAACTGATAAAACTTTTTTGCTTTTTCTTTCTTCAATATTCATTTCTGCATTTCAGGTATATGTAACGAGTACAGATCAGATGAGTATAGCATCAGCTGCTTGTCTGATGGGTGATTGTATTGTAGACGTTGATGGCATACCCATTACCTCAACTGTATCATGCGGTGAACGAGTCATTTCAGGACTCAAACATCGTAAATTTGTATGTTGCATTCATTTGCAAAATTAATCAATATCAAAATTCAGATTTCTTAATTGAAAAATTTTGATAGGTGCTGATGACAATTGAAAGAGCGGTAGATGTGCAAGCTATACGAGTGGTTAAATTTGTGCTACTTGTTGAAAAAACCCCTGAAAAGGATCCCAGGTATTAAATTTTTTGAAAATATATAAATATGGAACTTTAAGACTGACTTTTTTGTTCGCTGTTTCATTCAGAAAATCATCTAATTTTAAAATACCCATTATTGCCCTTTTTTCTACGATTTATGAAAGTAGGATGGCACAAGACACAACTAAAATTGGTTTGGATGAAGCAGAAAAAATTCGACAAAATGCTTTACCGCCAGCTCTAAAAAGCATTTATCGTGGAAAGCATGGAAATCGCCAAAAGTTTCTTTTTTCCTTTATTAATCTTTACATATCAACCCCCTTTGATTCATCTTCGCACTTCAGTTTTTCTATTACTTTGCTTAAGCTTTGAACTAGCCATAGCCATTTACTTATAAGTTGGAACAAGACATTAAAATCTTTTTCGTATTCTTATCGTCAGACATTTGGTAATCCGTGAGATGTCGATGTTCACGCCGATTGGTGCCGATCCATTCAACCCATTGCTGATGCAAGCGGTACCACCAAAAAGAATGGATGTTATGCATGCCAGTAAAACAAGTCAAATGAATATCACGACACCTCTACAGCGATCAAAAGAATAATCGTCATCCTACAAAAGAATCACAAATGATCCACCGCGATTCTTTTATAATGTGGCTTGATGCATGTCAAAGACTTATTGCAAATTACTTTGAATGTTAAGTATATTCAAAATTTAAAAAAATCGAAAATTCAAATAATATAATGATATACACAAGTGTACATATATATTTGTTCGAAATCTTGTCTCAAATTGTCATTAAGAAGTATATTAAGATTAATTCCTAAGGCATGTGTCACATCCTTGGCATTCTAATTTATGCTGTAATCAATTTTTGCATATTATAGCCAGTTTCATTGCATGTCTGAATTTTCATTTCACGAGAAATTGTATAAAGTCAAATTATAAGTTTTGGACTTAAATTATGATCGAATAATAAATTATCCATAAATTGCTCGAATGCGTTTTACTTTTTAAGGTATTTTTTTCATATTCGGTGATTATTATTTGAGCTATTTCTTCAGTTTCATTCGGATCCGTCGGAATCACTCTCTTTCAAAGCTTTCATTGAGAATACGCAATTTCATACTTGAATAATCCGTTTGTTTCTGTCATTCGTAATCACGAGATGTAATTCATCATAGCCGAAATAATTTACATTGCGATGTAAAAAAGTTCACATCGAATGCAGCTTCGAAATTTCAGAGTTCAAATAAAATTAAGATGGTCAAGCTCTCAGAATGATATATTTGCATTGTCTATTGCAACCACAAAACTCAATTTGGTATTTACTAGGAATAATCAGACCGTACGTATAAAAATAACCGTGAATGAGTTTTCGTAAACATGCTGCTTATAGCAACTGGAAATTTGACATTTTAAAAAAGTTTAATTTATAACACTTTCGTCGATTCAAATTTGATGACTTCAGAAAAAACAGAAATTCCGCTCGTCTCTCCAATCAGGCGAAAATTATGAAATCACACTAATGATGTATGCATATAGGAAGTAATATTCAATGACAGACATTTAATAGATTTATGTCAATCAAATTTTTTGGTAATTGACGTCCATATTTAGCTTATTGCATGCTCTAAAGTTGTTTTGTGTTATGATTTTCCAAGACTATCACATTAAAATGTTTCATATTAATCAGAAAATTACAGGTAAACACTGATGTTTATATAGTGCTAATCAGTAAAACAAAGTTCTCATAAAAATTTTCAATACTATACCGTGTGTAAATGATATGATTTAGATATTCCATAAAGTGGATCAAATAATGCAATCGTATCAACATGTACGTGTACATGTACGTTCATTAACATGCGTGAAATAGACTTGTCAAAATTATATATATTTTGGCGCAATATTTGATTTGTTTCAAATGAAAGATTCTATTTTAAGTACTAATTTTTTAAGCATTTATGGCTTAAAAAATTAAAACTATTGACATGTACAAATTAAATTAAATTAATCTTAACTTGGCACAATAAATAACAGAGAAATGCTTTGAAATTAGAAGAAAAAAAAGCAAGCTTTGTGGTAAAAATAGTATTCAGAATGATAGTAAGAAATTCATGAAAGTACAAGATAGAAAATAATCTCAAATAGTCCTATAAAAAATCTGTTATTCACCAGAGTTCTAAAAAGTTTAATTAAAAAGGATTGATTTTTTTATGCGGCATTGGATGGAGTGAGTATATAAGCGTATAAACTACAAGAATAGATTTCCATTCCATTAACGCTCATATATCAATCCAATCAGTGAAATATCAAAACCACAAAAATCAAATAAATAAAATCAGAAAATGCGAATTTCCATTTGTAATATAATTCCCCCGAAGTTATTCCTTTTATGAACTGTAGTTAATAATGTAGTGTTTTGAGACTCGAACAGAAATATTCCGCAGATTCATTATTAACATCAAAACTTGCTTTAATTAAGTTAGGATTGAAATTTCGACATATATAATTTAATAAAAAAAAATACTATCGGTAAAATTCCAGAACATCTTCGGAAGAATGGTATTGCTTATTGTTTCATAATATTACATGGATATGTTTATTTTCCTTCCTTCCATAAAATTAAATTCGACATCACGTGTCGCTCAAATTTAACAATCAGTCATTCTCTATCAGAAGGCCGGACTCTTATTTGCTATCAAATATATTATATGCAAAACTTTCTCATTGCAACATTCACTTTTGTGGATGATCACTTTGTATGCATGATGAAAAGATTTGATCACAGTTTTTTCAATGAGATGATATTATATATATTGGGGCAAAAATTTTATTGCAGTTGCCTTGGATGAATCTCCTCGAGTTGTTCCCCGAGATGATATTGAACGGTATCAAAGTTATCATATTTCTTTCGCAAAATGTTTTATGTGTACACTTCTTGCAAGACTTTTGCAAAGATAGAAATTTGTATATGATACTTCCTCACCATGAAATTTAAAATCTCAAAAAAAGTGTGCCGCAACACATTCGAAAATGGATTGTGCTAACTGGTAAACTAACAATAAAAATGAAAAGTATCTCAGCAAGTATAAATCTAAATCTAAAAAAGAAAAAATCAGAGTATCTTTATTCAAATATTTATTTTTCATTTCAAATCCTCAGCACACTTTGTTCAGTTCTCGAATATAGTTGAAAAACGATAATTGATTTTGCAACGCCCTACTCAATATCATAATAAATAAATTTATCTGAAATCAATAAGTAACTTAAGTAAAAAATTCTAAATTCTTGCAATGATACACAACAAATAGAACAAATAATAAAAAATTATGCCTTTTATAGCGCCTTCAATACTGAGAAACAACATTTACAATTGAAACAAAAAAATTAATGTATTCCTTACCATAATATAATGCCAGACATGAAAACTACTTACAATGAAAAAGTTAATTTTCATTAAAATTAGAAGCAATACAAATAAAACATTTCTTTCTTGGGCATTGTCTATTTTACCACCGATGAGAAATCTGACCACACACTCTGATCAAGCTCAGAACCGCTCATTTCGCGGTCTGTCGTAACGTCTGGTGAATCATTTGTTGACAACGGGCTTCCGAAGGCAGATGGTGGCAGCGGATAATAGTTTCTTAACTAAAACAGTCTCGGCGATAATCATTCACGTAGCCTTCAAAATATTCTGCTCTAGACTCCATTTTCTATTACGACATTAAAATCCACCTACGTTTGTATCCGTTTTAATTACTTCACCAATTTTTGAATCAGCTTTATCCATTCGACTAACGTGGATATCACTTGGAACTTTTCCCGTCCCCTCCGAATCTACAGCACGTTCATCTTCAAATTTCTTGGCAGTGGACTAAAATACAAAATTCAATAATAAGTCAAATTCCGATCAGAAAACAATAAAGTGTTAAACAATGTTATGCCAAATTTTGAAACAATTAAATGCAAAACATACCAACACTTCATTTTCAGGATCTGTTTTATCAAATAATGTTTTTGTCGCATTATTAGTTGTAGTGAGCCACTGAGGTCTTGAAACTACACTTCTCTTAAAATTATCTGATGATGGATCGCCAAAATCAGAAGCTGCACTGCTCCGAAGAGAACGTACGTCTATTTCCCCTAAACTCAGTTTTTTGAAGATTCCTTATATCTTAAATTAATTTTGCAAATTTCTTCTAAGAATACAGATTAGAAAGTTTATTATGGAAAAAACACTTGTAGTATTTAAAATTAGAACTAACCATCTCGAAAACATGCATGTTTTGTAGAACAGGCAGTCGATGCTGTGCGACTGCGAATCATTTCATAATGTTGCATTTCCTTAAAATATGCATCAATTTTAAAAACATGTTATATTTAAAATATATTTAGGCAGTCAATTATGAATTATTTTTTATGTAAAAATGCATTTTCTGTTAAGGCTATGAATTTTCTTTAGCTTTTGAGGCAAGTAAATTTGCAAGACTGTGGTAACGTTGAACAGAAAAGCTACTCCAGTTAAAGGAATTGTGTAAATTTGCTATAAATAAAATCAAGCAAAAAATTACGACCTCTTTTTCCTCGGCAATTAGCTTCTCAAGATACTTTTGAAGGTCGCTAATTTCAACTTCGTACTGTGCCATTTCTGCATTATTGCTTTCACGAAGAACATTGGTTTCCATTTCTAATCGGTTGCACTGAAAATGATCTATGTAAACTGCTCTTTAATTTAGACTGATTTTTGAGAAAATTTTATGATGGATGAAAGATAGCTAGAAAAACAAATAAATCCCAAAACTGAAATGAATTACATAAAAATAAGAAATAGGGAAACAAAAAGAGAGAGAGAAAAGGAATAAATTCTGAAACGTCAAAGAAATGTGTTATCCTAGACAAACTTATGAAAAAAGCCAAAAACATTGTGAGAATTTCAATAGATCGCTTCTATACCATTGAATTCAAATTTCACTAGAAATAACACTGAAATCTCTAAGAAGTATAATAGTTAAAAATGAGTTTATAAAAAATTCAATATTTTCGATCTCTATTACGAATGTGAGTATTTTGTAATCTTCAAAACATTTGCAGAAAGCTTCACACCAGCGTTTTAATACCAAAATAACTGAAAACTGCTATTTTTAATTGTCACCATTAATTTAAAAAATTACTTCAATATCAATTTCCATTCTCTTGCTGCGAAGAATAGCAGATGCCTTCCTTTCTGCAGTTATCATTTCTTCCAAATGTCTTCTTGTGGCGATAACGTCTTCAATTTCCTTTGACCAATCATGCTGTCCATCATCGAGAAGTATCATTAAAGAGGCATGCTCATTTTCCACACAATTCAGTTCCGCTTGCGCTCGTCTGATTTCATCTTGCAATGCAGTTGCTTTTTCATTCATCTTTGCCTATAACATACGATCCATTTGTGCAGGCAAAAATTTTTCTTGTACTATGTGTCTATAAGGAATAAATGTGTCCAATAAATGTGAATTGCAAGAATGCAAAACTTAAAAAACCTGTAGATTTTCACGAATACGTTTGTACTGCAACGAGATAATTTCAGTATCATCTCTATCATTTCCTATCAGATTCTCCAGTTCTGTTTTCATGATTATAATCTGCAAAGTGACTTGAAAAATGAACCATTTATACGATTTTACAAATTTACTTTGAATTTTATATGTAATTTAAGTGGTAACTTTAGGAACATAATGGCAGCAAAATCCGGAGATACACTGGCTAATTAATGCACTTACTTTCTCATCAAGCACCCTTTCTTTATCCGCAATTTCCCCATTTCGTTCATCCAATTTCGACAATTCAGTCATAGCTTCATCACATTCTTGAGAACATGCATACAGTTGTTGCTCCAGCTCTTCCTCCTCTGCCATAACTTCATCCAAATTCTCCTTCAAAATGATTGAATGAAAAGATATAAAATGTCGTCATAACTTAAAATATTTATCATCAATTTCTGTTTTTTCAAGTTTTCATTTAAGATTGAATATTAACAATTGAATATTAACAATGTCGGCGGATAAGATGTTCTCCAACTCTGCTTTCGCTTCATGAAATTGCTGTTGAAGTTTCTGATTTGTAGACTTCTTCATCTCTGAAAATGATACCATTATTTGAGTTAATTCGCTTTTTAAGTAACTTAGACAAATTTTTCTCCAATGGGTTGATTATAAAAAAATTTTCTAACGAAAGCTAACTCCATAGTGAAATATGAAATGAGTCTTAACATATAAAATCATATAACTTTCTGTATGATTCGTTTACTTCAATTAATATCGTTAACTGAGCTTTCTTAAAGTTCTATTATTAGTTTCAATTACCAAGATTGGACTTTAACATTGCAATATTGTTCAGTAGCTCCTCATATTGCATTCTCAATAACTGCTCTCTATCATCTCGCATTTTCCGTAAACGTTCAGCTCGTTCCGCCAGATTTTTATGGCGTAATAGACGATTCAAGCTATTTTGAAGTTCAACTAAAGCATCATCGATTCCCGCGCTTTGCTGTACTGTAAAAAATAGCATTTATCCAGTTCGAAAAATTGGATCGAAATCAAATAAAATGTATCAATAACTATTAGGGTACCTTTTCATTTCACAAAATTTAATTTTTTTTCTTCGCAAACTATATTCGTTGTGGGTATAATATACATGTATTGTATGCCAAAACGCAGAGAAATATCGAATGTTGCTTGATATTTTAATTCTCATCATAGGACTTAGTTATGTCAATGAAAATATATAATTATAATGAATAAACTAAAACACTTAGAACATACACTTTTCTTGCATAGCTTCCCAATCATTTCCAGCACAAATCTTTAGAGCCATGAAGCGGTCTGTGAAAGTCTCGATACTTAAGCCACTGACCTTGCTCGTTACTTCTACCGTATCCATTGCTTAAAAAATTCTGATGTATTCCATAATTTACACTGCTAAATGAACCAATAAAAATGACTATAATTCACTTCATTTTGGATTTTTCGACTATACAGATATCAATAACAGCAGCAAATATTAGGAAAATATTAAACCTGTCTTGATGAGTTCTGAAGCTGCCTTGAAACGCATATCGATTAACTGCAGTCCTTTGGCATTGCGTTGAAGTCTGAAATGGATTTCGCTATCACTGAACACATCGAAGAAGACTACGAATTGTTATACCGTCCAGAAATATATCAATAAAAGTTTGATATCAGATATCCGATGAATATATAGTTTTTAGCTATTAAAAGAACAAAAACCATACTGCTTAGAAATTTCTTTGCATGCTCGACGTGACTGCTTCAGATTCTCTTCATCATCGATATTTTGCGCAAAGATTGCCTTTGAATGTTCCCACATACTTCCTTCCTCTTCCGCAAAAATCGCTCTCTAAAATGGTTCACTTGGTGTTGCTTATGTACAATCTGTTATGTGTAAAAAGTTGGAATGTATGCAAACCACCTCTTTGAGCAGTTTTTTACGTTTCTTCAATAGTTCTGCTGTTGAATGTATGGGATGTAATCTATCGTTCTGTTTCAATTGGGTTGAAGATCCACTGACGGTCGTATCCATGGCTAATCTTAATAATTATTCAGTAAAATTTCAATCACCTATGAGTGATATTTTCATTTTGAACGCACACTCTATGCGGGATAAACGTACTACAGCAACGATGATACCAATTAAATTAAGAATTATTTGATAAGAAATCCCATATCAAGAAATTATATGACAAGCACAATAAAAGCTTTCTTCGTATACAGTCTTATTTAGCATCACAAGCAGAATTAACCATAAGTTCGAGCTATAAAAATGCTATTATTGTTTATGAAATTCAACAGAGAGAAGAATCTTCTGGAAAGATCCATTTTTTCTGATCTCGTTAGAAAATGAAAGCATTACTGCATTCATCACAAAGTATGTACAAAGAAATCAAACAATAAAAACATAAACAATAAACTTAAATCAAAACTTTACATTGACAACGCTACGTGGGAAATTAAAATTGAAGCAATTCCAAGTGATCAAACAACAATTTCGCGCGAATTTTTCGTAACATTCTGAGAATCACCAAATTCCTCAATTTGCACGTGCACTCGGTTGAAGATTCGTATTCTGCACGTAAGTATTCGTTGTCGTTATTGATGCCATTTAAAAAGCTTTCATTTTTTTGGGCAATTCTTTTATCATCATCATAAATGATCTCTAATAAGTATTGTGTGGCAGTATTGCTTTTGCATGCATATATTATCTGCAGGCACATGCATAACTTACAAGATTAGGTATGATTTAGGCTTATGTGGTTTATTTACGCGTGCATATCATCTGCAGATACAACATGCCTTGCAAGTTTAGATATAGTTTAGATTTACATATTTATCTCTATATGCATATACATAATTTGCACGTTCAGATAGTGCAATCTAAAGTTATATGGTTCATCCGTATGTACTATTCACTGGTTGTACAAGAAAGAGAAGAAAGGCTGTTAGGAACTAAGCGAGTTGTATAGTCTATTCTGGCTTGAGGAGTCATAAAGGTCAAACAGTTTACTTCTCGATCTGTTCATGGTCCTTATGGCCATTTGCACTTTCTCAATACTTCCCGAGAGCTCCTTCAATCCGTTTTTCCTACATTATTATTTTCTTTGGTCGATTTTATTCGTCGTGCTACTCTAGTTATCATTAGCGGTTAGAATAGAAGCTAGGAAAAATGCTAAGAAATCTCGAGAAGATATTCTCTACTTTTCTATTATTCAAATCCTTTTAGAAACTACTGAAAATTATCTTAAAATTTCCACTGTAAACTTGCTTTTGAGATATAACTGTGATTTCATGATTTCAGTTGCAAACAAAGCAACAGGGGCTGGAATTGTAATTGGTGTACTAGTGAAGGAATGCAGCAAACAACAACGATTTCATCGGTTCAGTACAATTTCCAGCCCTCACCAGACATTTACTCGCAATACGGTACGGGTATGTTGTGCCAGTATATCCTATTCTTTGTTTTTTATCCTCATCCTTCCTCTTACAGATTTGTTAAGCCTAAATTCATTTCAGTTATTTCAAATGTTGAAAAAGCTCAAAATACATATATATCCTTTATATAGCTTTTATAACTTTCCAAAGTTTACAGAGGTTACTTCCTGATGTAATCCATTAGCCTATCTCGAGATACAATCATTATGAAAAAAACCAGATTGTTTATTCATATTTTTCACTTTTTATTTTAGAGCGGATGGGTATAGATGCTGCTACAGATCAGCTACGCCAAAACATGTCATCTATCACGGTTATTTATTTTTCTGTGTAGTTATAATACTCGTAATCAAAATAATAAAAATGTCTCCGTATATGACATTTACTGTTCATATTTTGAGATTATGTAATTATAGGTCAGTGACAAAGAAAATGGAATAAATGAGATGCATTGGTGTTCTCCATGTAATCAGTGCACTGATGGTTCGTGTTACGCCTACACAAATCCAGCTGAACACCAACTAGTAAGTATAGGAATTGACTGAACAGTGATTAACAGTAACAGTTGTATCTTTTCTTTCATAGTGTTTAGGTATAAACAGTTATGTTTTATTGTTACCATAGCTTGATATAGTGCAGTACTTTTTTTTGGAGAACTGTGCGCATAATAAAAGGTAGATACAAATTAGATATAAAGTTAAATATAAAGAGCTCAGTGCGATTAAGTCTTTGGTAATAAGGCCTACCTACCGTCGAGATCAGACTTATTTGTTCTCTATAGACGACTTTGGACTTTGAAGTGAAAACACACTGTATTCACTCATATTTAGCTCTCATGCATTTTATCGTTTAACGGCTTTGGTGAGTAGCGCTAAACTTCACAAATTCTCAGACTTAAATTACAGGTCAATTATAGAATATAAAAATTATTTAGTTTCCTTTTTTTTGTCTTTTTTAGATGGCTTGCGATAGCTGTGTACAGCAATGCGAAGTATCACATATCAACAGCTTCAGAAATGGCGAGTGTTGGGATAACTACGAACGGTTTGTTTCATATTTTCTATCATTAATTTCCTTCATTTTTTGTTTTACGACTAAAAATTTAGAGCTCAGTATTTGTTGATTTTTAGCTACGGTTTAAACAACAATATTGAAGTAATGCAGCCGACATTGTTCTACCTACTGACATCAGGTTGCATTTCAAATTTCGGCAAGGACGAGAAAGGCAGCCGGTGAGATCTGAACGAACTGTTTGATCTTGATATAAGTATTGCAAAAAGAATAGATTTAATGGCAGTTGACAATGTGGTACCTTATCAGTGTTATTTAGATTTGTGCAAGAAGAATTCGCAAAAAGCTCTCCGGCTGTTCGTCAAATGATGTTTGATTATCTTTTCGAAAGAGGTGGATTTGACTGGTTCTCCAATGATCCACATGGAAATTTCATCATCCAGGTACGAAATTTAATCATTCAGTGGATCGAAATGTTTCCTAGCAGGACGATTCTGAGTGAGAATGGCAAATGATAAATATTGTCTTAATTGTAGAAAATCGCGATGGAAGCATTTCCTGGTATAGAACAAGCTAGAATCGCTGAGCACGTAGCAAATAAAGTGGTCAAAATGTGTTCAAACCGTTATGGAAGCAGGATCATGCAGCGTATTTTCGAAAGATTCGATTTCGGATACAGAGTCGAACTTCTGAATAAGCTCAGTGGGTCGGAATGTTTCCTAGCAGTTGATAGCTGTGCCACTCACGTCATGCAGGTTTGTTTGAAATTTCAGCTCGATGTGTACTCTTTCTTAATCCATCAAATTTGAATTCATTTCAAATATAAGTTCTTGTAGAAATTGTTTGCTCTTTTCCCACCGACAAAATACAGCTTTATTGTGATAGCGCTAACACTTTCGAAAGAGAATTTCAAGCAAGTTGTTCAAAATAAATATGGATGCCGTGTTATTCAATCTGCTCTGGAGGTAAAATTCTAATTTTCATAGTTTTACAAGAGAACAAATTGTATTGATCTCAGAGAGAAGAAAGATTTTATTTTCTTTGAAATTGAATAGCAGTGCCAAATGTATCCACTTTACTGAATTTTTCAGGAACTTGAAATATCGGCATGTACCACACGCTATGCTAGTAGTCCAAACGAATTCAAAGCAGCAAGACGGCTTCTGAATAAACTGCTGCGACGGCTAACAGAGAACTGCATGGAGTTTACAGATCATCAATTTGCAAACTACGTTATGCAGCACGTCATCACATCGGAGTTCCATCCTGAAGCTCGTGACTACATTATTAAACACTCGATTCTGTACGTCTTTCATTAGTGCGCTACAGGCAGACCTTGCAAATATCAGTATATGGAAGGGAGGTGATTAATTTAACTAAAAAATAACTTTTTGTAAGAACAAAAGTGGGAGAATTTGTTTGATAAACAATCTTTGACTTTTCTGTAAAAAATAATCTTTAATATGAATGTCGTTATATACTTTATGTCAATGATTATCAGTATTTTTCTTGCAAAAATATAAAAAATTTTGTTTTCCTCCACAGAAGCAATGTGCTAACGTTATCGCAAGAAAAGTTCGCTTCTCATGTCGTCGAAAAGTCATTAAAACACGCGTCACCAAAAGTACTGCATTGTTTGATGAGTGAAATCTTTGATGGTTATGTCAAAGATGAGTAAGTTTAATTCTCTAATTCAGTGTTTCAAACTAAATTTATTTTCTGTTGTCTAATGGAGTTAAATCTACAGGAAGTCTTATGTGATCTAAACATTTCCAGCAAAGGACGTGATGCGCTTGACATAATGTTATTTGATCAGTATGGCAATTATGTTGTGCAAACAATGATTAACGTTTCAATTGACGTACACGATGACAGACGCGAAGGTGATCTGGTATGGCTGGCTCGTCTCTCTGAACGAATTTCTCGACATGAATCTCGCCTTTTGAGATATTCGTCTGGTAAAAAAATAATCGAAAAAATGAAACAGGTGCTTTAATTAATGTTATTTGTTTTCTCACTACCAACAGATTAATTTGTTATTTTATTTCGATAGGTTCAACAACTTACGTTTTAGACCGAATTATTGGGATTTTACAATCTCATAAATATCGTAAAAAAGCTGGAATTCTAATTTTGGATTGATTTAAATTTACCGATATTCACAAAAAGGTCAGATTACCAAACTATTTTTAATATCAATTTTTTATTTTTTCTCTAATAGAGTATTAGAGATTGCTAAAATTTGATATTGGCAGGGTGTACGTTGCTGAGATTTCGATTATTCTGAGAAAAATTTTTGTTTCCTGATTTGGTTGCTTATTTTATTCATTAACTTAATTGATTGGGCTCAAAAGAAAAGGTCGAAGAAGTAGGGAGGGTAGTGAAAGAGGCAGGGGGAGGGTCGTTGGTCTATTTCAATTGATCAAGTTGACTTAAGGCATTTGGTTGAAAAGAAATTAGAAGCCCTGTTTTATTAGTCTTTTAATTTTAAATGAATATACAGTTGTCAAACACTAATAATGTGATTTATAGTGCGTCGTTTGATTGGAATGGTCGCAGTTAATTCATCAGGAGTTTGGCAGATAATTATGAGACGTTTTAATTACGTCACTTGGTCAAGTGCCTAATGTTCAATTTTTTTGTGAATCTTGTGTTTTTTGGTTTCCAGTTCTTGTTTTTCATACATGTGTTTTGAAATTTGCACATTCATATTTTAATCGTTTCGCGAGCATTGTTCTACAGTTCGTATTAGTGTTAGCTTCCAGCTTCCATTTATTTTGTTGTCAGTCTTGCCGAGTATTGCCCTTGGCTCTCAACTACCTATACAGCTAGCCTTGTAGGGAATTAATGTGATGACAGTGGTCATCCTTCTTTAATCCCACAGCTGTGTCCCTCAACATAATTTTTATCTCTGTGTTACGGTGTAGTTATTGTATGAATTAAGGTATTAATTCAATGCTTTTCAAACGTGCGGGCTGTCATTTTTAAATTGTGTATAATTTAAAGTGTTAATAAAGTTTTTTGATGTGACAGTGTTACGTCCAGATTACTTTAGATTTTTGCTGAATATACATTTACGGATGGACGGTTTCCAATTTTTACAATTTCTTCAAGTGAGAAGTAATATGGAACCTTATCTGAATACTTCATCAACTTTTTCCTTTATCAACAATCCGATGGATTTTTCTTGGTTTTCCCTGGTAAATAGAAGAAAGGGAATACAAAGAACGGTGTAAGTGATCACTCACCAAATTCTTTTTTCATTTCAGATGGTGATTGTCTAAAACAAGACAGAGTCATTTTAGATACACATGAGCACACGTTTAGTGATAGAAACGAAAATTGATTTGATTTTTTCTCATTCTAGTGTTTGGGATTTGAGAATGATGTATATCTGAATTTCTATCCCAATTTTGTAAACTTCAGATTCTATATTTAAATTTTACAGACAAGAAAGTATTCTGATTTATAATAACCTTTTACTGATTGTTTACAAGAGGACTCAATCATATATGATTCTAAATAAGAAACAAGCAAGTGAAACAGTAGCGGTGGTTAGCAGCCTGAAACTTTCATTGGTTGTCCATAATGGTAAATAACAGTCTTTTAAGAATTTATTAAATTGCTGTTTAATCAGATTTTCATGCGGAATATTTTTGTTTATTTTATTAACATTGTCTTCGCGTTCTTCGTATTCTGAAAAATAATATTGCTATTCATTAGAATCATAATTTTTTATTTCTCTTGGGATTATTGAAACTATCTTTTTTTCTTATTCGATAATAACTATATCACTTCATTATCCCTCATAGAGAGTACTGTTAGACTAAACGCTTCTAGAAAATACGAGATGCAGCGAAAGTTTGATCTATGAGCTGATGAACTATTAATACATTATTTGATTCGCTACTGCCTTACAGTCCAATCTGTAATCACTTTTTCAGCAGTTCCAGAACTAAGAAAATTATTAGATAATTAATGTGAAAATTTGTATCGATGTTGTAGGGTCTTTCATGGGAATTTGTGCATCTTGCATTGAATTCTCTCGGTCATAAATTCGTGATGTCAAAAATAAAACAACTACACTCAGGATGCAGATTTTGCAAAATTCAGAAATTGATGAAAAAGTTTATCAGGAATAACTGATGTTAATCTTTTGAAAGTAATTCTCTTGAATTTTATCGCTTAATTTGCATCGATCTGCTTTTTAATTTAATTAAAATTAAAAAGCAATATTACATAGTTCATAATGACAGAAATAAAAGTATTTTCGATTTATTTCAATATAAATTTCTAAATTTTTTTGTAATATTTAGTAAATCAATCTTTTATTCGATCTGGAGTAAAAGACCATTTTTACTACAGTAAAGCTTGTTGAAACATATAGCATTTTAAATAATATGAAATAAGTTCATTTTTAAAGTTAAACTTTGTAATTGATCAAAAGTAGATGAAAAGAAGTCACCCCTGTGTAATTAACAATTCAAAATCATCACCTATTTCTTTTCTCATTGAAAGAAATTTCAGGGAACTTCAACAAATATGTTTTTATACCTAACAACAATTGCTTTGGTATTCTTATTTAATGGAAGTAAAGCATCTCTCAGAAGAGTCAGTAATGCTCAATCAGTTAAACATGAATCATTTCCATATATAGCTGAGCTACATATTGATTGGCCAGGTAAGTGTGGACAATAAAACAAAGCTTAAAAAAGCAAAGTTTTTAATTTGTACAACTTTCTTATTTTGAATGTAGTTCATAAGAATTGAAATACTTATTTACAGGTGAATTATGCTAAATTAACTTAAATATCATTTTAGATTAAGATTAATTTTTTTTTTGCAGACCGAAAGATCGTATGTACAGCTAGTCTTTTGTCTCGTTCGATAATAATTACTGCTGCACATTGCATAGTGTAAGTATAACTAAAAACACATTTGTACTAAATAAATAATTTAATTTCAAAAGTTTAAATTACGTTTCATTTTCTAAGCAGAATATGACTAGATTCGAGTTATCATAATAAATTTACAATTTTAGTGATGAAAAAACGAAGGAAGAGCTAGGTAAGGTTAAGAAAGTAATATTTCGACGTGATTATGGCCGATCGTATGTAACGTGGGTTGGTGGTGAGGCTAATGGTGTTCTGAGTATAACCGAACTAGACGTAAGCTTAGTTTTCTCGGCCATTTCTTTTAATCTAATAATAAATGGGTTATGTTTGGGTGGTGTGAGAAGATAGGATATTTTAATTAGTGATAAATAAGAGTAGACGGGATACAATCTATACTAAATATTTCACCTGTTGAAATAATTTTTGAAGGAAAAAGAAGGTATTTTGGATTATGCATTGCTTCAATTGGTTAAGCCATTACCAGTATGTCGGGTCAGGAATGGCAGAATGTTTTCAATTATTAAATTACCAGTGAAAGATATACGAGCTTGCAAATGGAAAATTTTGCAACCATTAAAAGAATTCCTCGATCAGTGCTCATTATTCGGTTATGGAGCTTCAGAAAAAGGTATAAATACTTTAAATTTGAAAAAAGAAACAGATTTTTGTTCAGTTCAATGATTTGATCGTGTAAAAATGGGTCTAGAAAAGAGTTTGGAATAAATGAATTAAAATGAAACAAAAAAAGAGTAATTCTGATTTATTGCCAAAACTCTTAAAAATTTTGCTTACCATTTAAAATTCAAATGTTTATTTTAAAATTTCAAAACATCATTCGTTGAAGCAAATCAAAGTTTTCTAGTTTCAACAGAATTTGTTGTCATTTTAATAAAATACTAAATGCTTAATACTTTTTTAGATGGACCGGATGGCAAGCTACGAAAATTAACAAATATTTCAGTTTGGGAAGTTAATGGACGACTTTTGATACCAATGAAAGATAATGCAGAAAATATTCGTCAAGGTCGTATATGTGGTGTAAGTTAGTTTTGTTGCAATGAAAAGAAACTAGTTTAACTCTCTCGGATAGTATTAGTTCGACGAATTACTTTATATCTATTCACTCTATTAATCCTGTTAATCATGTCTATTGATTTAGTTATCAGTGAAGCCATTTATATTGATTGTCATGAGAATTGGAACTTGAATTTCGCAGATATTAAACTTCGAATTTATAATTTTCGATAAAGTGGCTGACAATAAATATTCACTTTCACTTTTATCACCCATCCGTTATTGTTGGAGCAACCAGTTCGTTTCAGGGTGATTCTGGCGGACCTTTCGTTTGTATGACTGATTTGGGTGAACGGATTTATGGCATTCTGTCACATTCTGAGCCATTGTTGGAATCCTATCCTTCGTCGTGCTATGGCGAAGTATGTTTAGATGCAAATTCAATTTAGGAAATTTTTTTTCTGAAAATGAAAGAAGGAGATTTCGAGTCGACGGTGTCTGTCGTTTCTGGTTTTCAACATTTTTAATATTTCATTGTTTTACATTGTCGAAGTGTCAATTTCCATCTTGAAAATTTTGCAGGAAAATGCCTTCTTGTATGATGTGATGAGTGATGTTCGCAAAGTGTTACCGTACATTCAGGATTCATTGGCTAAGATGAACAAAACTAACGAACTGATTGAGGATTATGAGAGATGTGACTTCTAAATTTGCTATCATCCTTTATCATCACTTTTTTCATCAAGACTATTACTCCCTAAACACTCATTCAGAGGTCTGACTGCAATACTTTGAATTTTTTGTTTCGATGTGAAAAATTATGTATATACATATATGAATACTTTCTGATGTGTAAAAATCACACTTTCAATTTTAAATTGTATTTTTGGAAATATATCCAAATAAACTTGTATCAGTGATACAGGGTAAATTGTTTACATCAATAATAAATGGATTTTTTTGATAAAAAAATTTAATGATGGAATTGATCAACTTGTAAAGTATCGGGTGCAACCAATCGGTCATGGCGATGTATCGATATTTTCTTCATGATCGATTATTTTTACGAACTGCGATATTAATTATTTAGTGCTGTTGTATCTTTCCTAAATTTCTTTTTTCCTCAAAAATTTTAAAAAAACTTTCAAAGTTTTGTGAAGTATTACTCATCGTCCTCAACACGGTTGACTTTTACACGAGTCTCGAAAAGGAGATGTACACCTCGAACATCCCAATGCCATTCACATTGTTATTCACAAAGTCTTGACTATCCTTCACAATAGAAAGTACGGAAATTGAATAAAATAATCAATAAAAGAAATGGGAAGAGAGAAAACGAACTTTCGCTCAATTCCGCTTCTTGTTGTGCAATTTCTACCTCATGTTGACGATTAGCTTCATAATTTTCCCTCAAAATAGTGCGCCACTGATCTAAGCCGAAACAACCAGCGAACATCGACAAAAGATAAAGAATATCGCAAGCCTGAAAAACTAGATAAAATAGCTTAGTAAACAAATTTTAGCAAATTGATCATTATTTAACAGTGGAAGTGCATTGTTACTTTTATTACTTACTCGTGAAAAGGCAGGAATACATTTGATGACTGCTATGACGCAGTATGCAGTTGACATCGGTATCATAAATAGCAATGAACCAACAGCGAACGGAACTGATGCTAACATCATGATCGGATACAGCAAGACTGCCTTAATTAATATGAAATGCTTAAGCGATATGTAAGTAATATGTAAGTATAATTCAAATTACTTCTATATATGTTGTTATTCAGAATATAAATTTTAATATAAATTTATCACAATTCTGGTAGTGTAAGATTGATTGGTAAATTAGATGGATATTATTACCAAGGTAGTAACCGCCCACGGTGGCTTATTCAGTCGACGCATGCATTCTCGAAACAACGAAATTATTTGATAAGGAAGTGTGATCAATACTAACAGCGGTCCAAAATACTGTAAAAATTGTTGCAATATCACGACAGATACACGGCAGAGCACCGAAAAACTTCAATAGTTTAGTATGGGTTATCGATTGATCCCTAATGATCAAAGCATTCTCATAATTCGCAGTATTCCTGACAGTTCTCTATTTTTAATAAATTTTTGAGAAATAAATGTAACTCTATGCAGAAGATTGATATTTATCAATAAAACAGAGAGATTCGAGAACGGCAAGTGAGCCATCAAAGATTCTGCGAAAGAAAATGATAATATTTTAAAATGAAATTCTATTAACTAACTATTAAAGTTGTGCTAACGAGTGGTAAAAAAATGATGAGGAAGCATCCTTCTGTGAATGCCAAAAATTTGAGTATGAAACAAATCTTGAATAAATCATCCCATCCAAGTCTGCATCCTCGACCTTCAGATGATATTCATGTTTGAATTATTTTCTGACAATCATTTCCCTAATCTTAAAACAACAAAAGATCATCTATTACGATTCAATGCAAATCCATGGGATACTGTAGTTTGTATTCTGGAAAAAGACAAAATGAACGGAGCGATTTTTAAATAGTAAATAAAATGATTTAATGGTTACTGTTAGAAAATTCTGACGAATTTTGACAAAATGTATAATGCTGCATTTTTGTAAAACTGATCAACTAAACTTAGCAAGCAAATGTTGAAACGATACAAATTTCAACGTCCAAATCTTCAAAATTTGATTTCATTCCTCAACTCTTTGTTATCTTACCAGCGAAGTGTTGCAGTGATTCTGTAGGCTCATTGCATACCCAACAAAATCGTTGCTTACATCTTATATTAGCACATTGCACAAAGTTACAGCCATCATATTCCGAGTAAAGTGCCTGCAATATCTGTACATTATCTTTGCTAATTACCATAATCATTAAAATGCACACAATAGCTAATGGATTGATTACTCATTTCTGTGTTTCATCTGTACATGTAATCTTTCAATATCAATCATGAAATCACTTTATATAATTTATTTGCTAATTAATGTGCACTTTTTCTAATAAATTCATCAGTAAAGAATTTATCCAATTTGTCATTCTTTTCATTTAGAATTCAAGTATATTGAAAATTTCTAATATTCTACGTTGTTTAAATGCTAATAATTTTGCCACATATTGTAAAAATAAGTTTCGCTTCTTATTTGATCGAACCTAATAACATATAAATCATTACCTGATCATCCATATTTCTGAGCCTATAAATTAGAGAAATAATTCTAACCTTACAAAGTGGACATCGTTGTATCAATCCTCCAAATGCATAATAAATACTGTGTTTCCGATGTTCATGCAATAAATATTCGCGTTTTGATCTTTTCATAAAAATCTCCAAATCGCTATTTTCAGGATCAAACACGGCGTCAATATCATTTTCATGGATGCGCTTCGGGCATGTCCTCTTTACGCATTTAATTCGTGCTTTATTTTCTTCCTCAATCCAGTACTACAAAATTTTCATAAAAAATTTAATTTTTTCAATCGAGCTTATTTAAACTTGCTGACAACCTTTTCTTTATAGGCCGCTGTTTTTTGTTCATATTTAACCGTACTATGGTTCAGTTTCATCATTTAAAGATTACCAAAAATCCAATCGTAATTCATTTTTATGCAATTTAGTTCAGCTTAATTGAATAACACTTGATTTGCATGAATTTAATTCATGCCTAGCACGCGCTATTTTGATTTTTTTGCAATTATCAAACATTCATTCAAGGTTTTGCTCAAATTATTAATTTCAATTTCCGAAATTCGCTTCATCTTCAAAGTCACTCTGATATTTGAAACAAAAGAATTCAAATTTCCCTCTCAGCTATATAATTAGATGATAGTATTCCGGGAAATGCCAGACAGTTACCTTTAGATGTTCGAGAATGCATTCAATGCATACAAAATGTCCACACTGTCTTAGCTTAATGCGCCATACATTAAACTTTTTACATTTGCAGCATCGTAATCCCGCGAGACTATTCTTTTTGCTACAATTTCATGATCAAATACAGAAGAGAAATTTCATCAACTGATGGGAAAGAAGTTAAGTTGTAGTAGGAAGGAATTTCTTTCAAATTTTATTCGCTGAATTTATAATTTGATTTGAATAATTTTACTGATCTAACCAAACTTATTGAATATAAAATATTCAAATAAGATTTTACATCATAAACATTACTCTTGCCTTATCCCTTTCAGTCCATTTTCAAAAAATATCGTCACCAAAGACAATTAAGTTATTGTTAAAAGGCTAGTTAGATTTCTGAACAAATATATGTTTGCTAATTTTTTACTCACTGTTTATTTTTATTCCCTATCACTGAAGTGATATAATGACATCTGTTCCGCGAACTCTTTCAAACACTACCTTTCCTCGTCTTTCTTTTTATGCTCTTCCGTCTGCATCTGCTTTGTCGCTTTATACGCCCAGCTGAAAATTTTCAACAATTTTCTTATTGTTTTAATAAAAGATCGATGAAATAAGAAACTAATTAATTACTTGTAAATTCTTCATAATTAGTAATAAATTTAGCATCCAATCAATAATTCTTAAAATTTGAAATTATTAAAATGTTCGATAAATACTCGTTATATCAACAGTTCTTAAAATTACTGAAGAAATTCGGCTAACAACTGCTGTATAGGAAGAGAGAATACAGACAACCTATTGTATAATTCGCGTAATCTTCAAATGAAGCAATACTTTTTGAAGCATTTCATTTTATACAAGAAAACAATTTTCAACCATTCTTTTCTCATTTCAAACATTCATTGTCCATCAAACAACCCTTAAATCTTGTGAAATGAATTTAATATAGCATAAGGTCAAATTCAAATCTAAGTTAAAGTTAAGGTTCACATTTATCTCCCAAGCAAACAATAATGCTAAATTGTTTACTTAGTGTTGACTTGTTGCTAGCACATAAAAACGGCGCTATCTTCTACAATGTCATATTCACTTTACTCTTCTCTTTCCTTCGATTCATTTCTTCCATTAAAACTGTATAAGGAAGGTATGAAAGCTAAGATTTAGCAAAAACCAATTACTGACATTACCGCTTTACTTTGAATGTTTCGGACAGAAATCGAATCTCTGTGCCGCAAACACCAAAGAAAGTACAATTCAAAAATTGAAATTTCTACGCTTGTTTCAGTATATTAGAATTTAGGTCAACTGGTCTTCTGAGGGATAACTTTTACAGTTTGCTTTTGTGAAAAAAAATTTCAGCTAAATTTCGGATTATGCCACCCGTTCCAAAAGACATCCTGTCATTTGTCATAAAAGCAAATATCGCAAATATCACTTCATTATTCACGCCATACATCCACTACACAGAAATTCATCACTTTCTTTAGCGCAATTGTCATCCGGCACTATTCGATCATTTCCGCTTATCTTTTGCAAATACGTGCATATCTCTCTTCAGCTACAAATAAACTAATCTATTTTGGCTACACACTCTCTCGTGAATCTTACCAATCTCTGCTCTCTCTCTTCTAATACACTTCTTATATCGTCATATTTGTGTGCAGAATATTTCATAAACAGGACTAATGACAGTATGACACGGTAACAGGATAACAACTACGTGACTAAACTCTTAGGTGGAAAGAAGGTGAGTGAGTCAGTCGAGTGAAAGGGTCATTACAAGAGTAGCGATGTAACTGTTCGATAACTTTCATTTTTAATTCGTAATTTTTTTCTTATAAATTTCTAGTAAAGCCGTCCAGTTCGGTACTTCTTGTTGAGTTTTAAATCAAATCTTTTTAAATGTTCACATTTACTACAACACACATTTCGTCCCACAAAAAACTACAGTTTCACAAAAGGTTACCTTTTACGTTTTTTTTTTGCAATTTATGAGCATATGTTTAATATGATTTGTTTACTTTTCAACGCGTTGAAGGTACTGTGACGTGAAACACGCTATGTTGGTAAAAATGGAGTGAATTGCAGTATAGAACACGGAAAGTTAAGAAAAATAGAGTTAATAGTAATCAAATAGTTAATTGAAGGAAGTAATAGAATGGTGTTTGCGTTTGTTATTTGAATGCTTCCAGTTCAGAGAGAAAATGTTTGTTTTTACAGGTTATGCTATCAAGGATAACACTAATCGTGCTGTATCTATTTGAATATGTATCTACAGAAGAGAAAGAAAGCCAAATTGAACAAGATGATGGTATTTTTGTACTAAATGAGGAAAATTTCATGTCTTTTCTTCAGCAACATCCAACATCACTGGTCAAATTTTACGCTCCGTGGTAAAATATTGATTTTTTCCTATTTTATTAGAGGTTTTTAATTGCCTTTGTAAGTGATAATTAATTACATGCTGCATATTGTGCTTGCCATAAAGAGTGAATTGTTTTATTGTGAGATATGGACTACCGTAGCATTTTGCATTATTTCACAGGAACTTCACTCTTGAGAAAGGTTTTCAAAGTTTATTGTAGGTGTGGCCACTGTAAAGCACTGGCACCTGAATATGCAAAAGCTGCGAAGAAATTAAAGATACCATTGGCTAAAGTGGACGCAACCGTCGAAACAAAACTTGCAGAGACGTAGAATTAATTTTATTTTATTCTCAAAACTATCATTTTTATTTTTTAAAGATTGCTTATAATACATAATTAAATATTCATGATATAATGCAGTTATTCAAGCTATCAAGCTATCGTAGACTTCATGCTTTAAATGTACTTTGTTCCACTATGATAAAAAGCCTTGTTTTATCGACAACAACAAATAATGCTTCCAGCAGACAAGCCATATAAATACATAAGGACATGAAGATATAAACTAGAGAGTCAAAGTAATTTCCTGAATATTATAAAGCTATTTCAGTTATAACATACAAGGATTTCCAACACTGAAATTTTGGCAAAGCGGTAAAGATCCAATCGATTACGATGGTGGACGAGAATCTGACGGTTGCAAATATTTTGAAATTTATACTGTAATGTTTTTCCTAACGTTTAAACCGGCTTAATAGGTGAGATTTAAATTTTTTTACAATTGACGTTGAAATAACTCCAGCTTATTTCAGAGATTGTACAATGGGTTTTGGAGAAAACAGATCCTACTTATAAGCCACCCCCGTCAACTGTTGTAAAGCTAACGAAAGAACAATTTACTGAATTTATCACCATACATCAACTCACATTAGTTAAATTCTATGCTCCGTGGTGCGGTCATTGTAAGAAACTTGCACCTGAATATGAAAAAGCTGCAAAAAAACTTAAAGTACGTTTGAATTATTTTGGATCACTTCTTTAGACAGACTTCAAAAGGATATAGTAAGATAATTCTTTAGATCTGAATCACGAAATGGATCGAGTGGAGAGTTTGGAAAACAAAAAAACAAAAAAGGTTTCTTTTTTTTTAGGATGCAGGTATAATGCTTGCAGAAGTGGATTCTACAGTTGAGAAGAGTTTGTCCGCAGAATATGATGTTAATGGCTACCCAACATTGTACGTCTTTCGGAATGGAAAGAAGTTTGATTACAAAGGACCCCGTGACGCAGAAGGTATATTTCTGTTGGAAGATTGGAGTTGAAATATTTCTTCCTTTCCGCACATAACTATTGTATCATACTCGCATGTGATGAATTATAATTGTTTTTTTTTTCAAATAACTTAATTTAGGTATTGCGAAATACATGTTTGAACAAGCTGAACCTGCTTTAAAGAAAATTACCAGCGTCAAGGAGGCTCAGCGTTTTATGCGCAAAGATGATGTAACAGTTGTTGGTTTTTTCTGTGATAAAAAGGCAGAACTACTGGATTCTTTAAGTGACGCAGGTCAGCTTCTTGTGACTGGTGAAGAGGACTTTATTCTGCTTCTGTTATCATCCGTTACCTTTATCATTAAACAACCTTTACTGTAAGATGAAAATGGCAATAAAATTTTTCTGCAATTATGGATTTTCCTCCTGTTCCTACTGAAATTTTCATAGGAAAACTATTTTTAGATTCTCCAGAATATTGACTGCATGAAAATATGGTTTTGATTTCCCAGCATTTTTATATAATTCAAATCAGGATTCATGATTCAAAAGGATCCTGTAGATTCCCTTTTTTAGCTGAAATGTTGCGAAATGACTTCACTATTGCGGTCTGTTCAGAATTAGATGTTAAAAAACATTTTCAAATTGATTCCGATCGGATTGTTATTTTTTACCCTGAAATATACTGGAGCAAATACGAACCAAAACACATTATTTATGAGAAGGTATGCGTTTTCAGTTATCGTTCTTCAGCTGATCATAGTAATTTACAAACATTTTGTCGACATTAGATTTTCGGTGATAGCTTGCTGGATTAAAATGCTCGAAATGTAGTCATCATAATTCAGGCAGTTTGCAGGAAATTGGTACTGCGAAAGACTTGGTAACATTCTTCCAAGAAAATTCGATACCTCTTGTAGGTCACAGGACAAAAAAAAATGTTGCCACTAGATACACTCAATTTCCTCTCGTTGTAGTTTATTATAATGTTGATTTCTCAATAGAATATTGCGAAGGAACACAGTACTGGCGAAAAAAGGTTGAGTTATATACCCTTTAATTCCAACATTCTTTGAACATTGGTTAAACGTTTTGATTTCCAAGAATATTACTAAATTCATGGGATCACACGCGGATGAGTTAAATTTCTCATAACTGATGGACGTTGAAAATTTTAAGCTTGATATATTTTTGATTTTTTTATGTATGATTCATCGGCACTGTTAATAGCCACTTGATAATGAAAGTTTGATATATAAAGTTATTTTACGAATTAATACGCGATAGTGTAAGTCTAAGACTAACAGCAGCTAATAATGCGTTTCGCGGTATAACTCAATAAAAATATCAAACCCATGAAATTAAAGGGGGTCTTTACAATACCTTTTCCGATTAGCGTCTTGCTATGGCAGACAAGAAAAGTCGTTTTAAGTTTTTCAGTGTTTATTATTTCTAAATCAATTCAAATGGTAATCTGTTTATTAAGAAGGCATTTCATACTTTTTAAGTCAGCGTAGCTTTTCGGAATGATAATCAGTAATATAATAATCAATTTCTTCCGTCTTAGGGTGAGAAAATTTTTTCCTGCATCTTTTATCAGCAATGTACAACAGTAATTACTTTTTAAATTAAATTATAGGTGTTAGAAATTGCGAATCAATACAGAAAGGATAACTACCATTTTGCAATTTCAGACGAAGATGAGTTTGGAGATGAGCTCGCAGCGGTTGGTTTATCATCATTTTTGTATCTTTCAGTTCAATATTACTTTCTGGAAACATGAAAAAAAGGACGATTTTAGTGACCTTACATTTATGACATTTGCAACATGCTTAAACAGAATAGGAAATCGTTATGAATTTCATATATTTCAGGTAGGATTGGGTGACAGTGGGCTT